GTTACGATGACAGTTCGACGGTGAATGTTATTTGTTTTAAATTTTCAATTGTTATTGCAAATGATATAACAGAGCCATTTTATGCTTTTATTTGTAAAATAATGTCAGGTTTTTTAGAGCTTTGAATAATTTTACACTTTACATATTAGTGGCATCACTCTTCTGTACTGTCAACGCTACTGTCRTTGGCAAATATAAGAATATTTCAAGTTAGTGAGAGCGTGGGAATCCAGGGCATTTTGGTTTTTGCGTAGAAAAGTGTCAGCTGATTGCTCTCTCACAACGCAGAGTTGCCAATCTTGATATACTGTAGTAATTATAAGAGTTGTCTTCAATATGTTTGAAATTTTCTTAAAATAACTCAAAATCAGAGTCGAATGTTATTATTTATAAATATATAAACTACTTTTAATAGTTGGTTTTCAGTTTTACTATTTTTTATTATGAAAAATTGTAATCTAAGTTGTGTACAAAAGTATATATGCAACATTGTTCAAATGAAAACAAACAAAGACATTTTGCTCGCTAAGGAAGGAAAATAAAGGAAGGGAGTAGCGTTTTGGCTGTTTCTGCTGTAATCCGTAAACATGATGGAATAATTCGATTAATAGAGTTGGTTCATATCAGAGATAAAGAGATGTCCAACCCCCACTTGAAGTGAGAGAACAATTGGTAAACGTCAAAACATCTTGAACTTTGACAGTTGATCGAGTTAAGGAGGTTTTGACGTTTAGCATTGGGAATCGAGCGATGGTCAGATTGTAATCTTATAAAAAAATATGCAAATCTTATAAAAAAATTGCATCGTTAAAGACCACTTTTAAAAAATGTTAAACAATGAAAATTAAATAAATTTGTGAATTTTAAAGATATTTAATGAAATGTTTTGTAATTTGAAGCATCATAGTTATTTTCAATGGAAAATGATTAAAAACATTGAATGATTGAGAGCTAAGAAATTTAAATCCTTTTATTGGGCATTGAAAGGTCAAAAGTCAGTTGTTCTAATATACTCCAAGATTTAAATAGTTTATCCATATAATAAATAACCACTATATAGTAATTTTTATTCGTACTATATGTTAGGTGTTTTAGTTTAAATGCCCAAAAACTATTATTTTATTCGATCTGGCCATAATGGAAAATGTTATAAAAAATGCTTATTTTGTGGCGTTCTGACAATGGAATAAGTTGGGCATCCCATTATCCCTGGTTCATACACTGCCACTTTTGTTGAACAGCTCGTTTACGACATGGATAATATGATACGAGACTCTTTGATTCGAGAGAGAGCTGTCAAAACTCACATTTTTTATAACATTTACAAATGATGCCACTATTAGATTGCTTATTTAATAAACTAAACAAAACACKAAATTAAACAATTTGAAAATGCATACATATGTAAATTCTAAAATGCAAAATCATTAAATAATTTACATAAACATTTATTTTGCCAAAATATGTTCGCACAGATCAATGAAATTTCATTCACACTAATTTCCTCATGAAATTATAGCGGTTCACTTCTGGCATCCCGCCTTTTCTGAAATCAACTGTCAGAAAATCCCTGATCTCCATCGCTGTCAAATAATCAGGGAACGCGTTTGAAAGAAAAATGAGAGCCAATGCCGGAGTCTCTTTGTGCTCTTTTTGGTAACAGTTCGCTGCTTAGTGATTCTGTAATTTTATTTTAAAACTCTTTCTATAGCCTAAATTGTGTCTGTTTTATATGACTAAGCCACACATACAGATATATACACATACATTTTTTTATACAAATGTTTAGAAATTGGACTGAAATGCTATAACTTAGCTAATGATAAGTATATTTCTCTACAACGAAAAGTAAAGTGGAAAATTCTCCGGCTCGAGTCGGCAGAGAAGATGCGTGTCTCTGCGAATTTTATGAGGAATGGCAATGAGCAATAAAAGTTTTCACGTTTGAACTGAGGCGAATTGCATTGATTTTTCAACTTATAGTTTAGTGTAACGTTTCGTGGCTGTTGCAAATATGTGCATTTGATKAAAAATTTCACAACGTCAGGAATATTGTGATTTACTGTGAATCTTCAAGCATAAAGATAATCGAAAAATTCATGATATGAACTATAASTTTGTTATTTTTTTAAAGTCGGGTGTTTCCGTGAATTATTGTGAGAAACTGAATAATTTTAAATTGATATTTAGTAACCGTAAAAAGAATTTCCTTCTGTATCAAATGTTTTGACGAAGGATGCGTACAAGGTATGTTGTAAGTCGAAATGAATTTGTAAGGGCCGAGAGAAAAAAAAAACCATCATCAATACTGTGTAATATAGTATGTTAGATTTCTATAGGAAGCAATTACAAACCAAATCTCAAAATGTACCTTGTTGATTAGAACAACTACTGGTATATACAGCGACGATTTATATCATATTTATCATTTAAGTGGTCTTTGATATTTCGAGGCATTAGTAATGAAAGAATAAGTAAATATATATGTAAATATGWATATGTATGAATGATGTTTGGTAAATTTTACAATAACGTCTCTCGATTTCGGGGTCAAACTGTGTCTGTATGGATAGACTAGTTTCTCCTGATCAAGAAAATATGTAYATGCATACTTTCCACCGACTTATAGTTTTGAGATATTTGCATTTAGAGTTAAAAAATTCAACTCTTTAAAGTGCGTGGTTCCCCGATTTTTAATGAGTTTTACACTTAACTTTTATATCCACTAAAACTTCACTAATTCGCCTCTATCAATTTATGTTATATTAAATAGTGCAAAAATAACTTCTATTCAATATAATTTCACACGCAAATTGTTATTCGTTGTTCGTTAAATTTGTTATAGCTTGTCACCTGTGAATACACTTTCGACGTTAGTTGTTGTGGGCAAAAAGAATAAAATGCCTCAAATAAGTTCGAAATAGAAAATAATTAAACATTTAACTGTAACAACGATTAGCATTAATTGAAGGTAGGTATAAAAGGTGTAAGATTATATATAATATATCTATGTACATATGTATATCGATAATATATTCTTTACACAGATGTATTTGTCGAAAACGAAGAAGCTGAACTGGGCAACTTGTTTGACGAATTGTATGAAATCTTGTACGTTGTCATGAAGTATCGGAAGGGAGTTGTAAATTTTGTTCCTAAATCAATCCGTTGGTACAAAGATATTCTGACTTCAATGGATGAGAGTCGCTTTCGCCAAATGTTACGAGTAAATCGATCACAATTTAAACACCTTCTAACATTGATTTCAAATAACGAATCTTTTAAGCAATGCGAGAGTAAACAATTTAGAGCTACAAGTGGCAATAGTTTTATTCAGATTGGGTTCATCAGAAGAAATGTCGGTTGCAAAAATTATCAAGTGGTGATGTCAGGACTATTTCCAAAATTACAAATAAATATTGGCCACATTTTATAAAACGCTCTGAAATAGTGCAGAAAACTTTCAATGAAAAACCGTTTTGCGTTGGATACGTTGAAGACACGGAAATTAAATTGGCGAATGCTCCTATACACATACATTCGCTTAAAGCATAAGTAGTATGGGAATACCAATGTGCTGTAGTTGTTGGTTATTGCGGTTCAACTCACGACTCCAAAATATTTAGAAAACTGTTAATTTTTTAAAAGCCACACTAAGTCTTGTCGGGACAGGAATGGCTGGCAGATGATTCTGCATATCCACTTAATAATATTATAATAACTTCGTGCAGAAGTAATCCTCAACATTTCATCCAGCAAAAAAGAAAGAGTTAAATTTATGGCACAKCAATGCCGCGTTAGAGTCTAGCACTGCTTTGGTGTGTTAACAGGCAGATTCAGTAGTTTAAAAGAATTGAGAATGCGTATCCAAAATGAAGAAAGTCAGAAATTCTGTAATAGCTAGTTTTTTTGTCTGTTGCATCATCTATAATATTTTAATTCATCACACGGACATAGGGGATTTGTGGAAATCCCTTTGAATGTATTTCAAACTGCAGAGAAGTTTGAAGATATAGATAAACTAGTTTTGAAATGAAAACGCCGATGCTGTAAAACATTATGTTTCAGAATAATACAAATTTTTAAAAAAGAACAATTGATTCATATAATTCAAATAATAAATATTATAACTTTGTTTATACTTAGTCTGTATTAAATTTTAATTTGAGCTCAAAAAAAAAAAACAGCAGGACGTTCTTTTTGTTCTTACTCCCGCTTTTTTATTTCGAGATTCTCCGCCAACTTTTGTTTTTTAAGATCTAAATTTTGCTAGTCATATAAAAGCCGTGTTCTCTTATTATCAACTTTTTGTTATTTAATGCTCAGGCGCATTTCATAATAAGAACCTACTTTTTTTCGTACCCTCTGGACCGACTCATAGGARGTAAAATCAACTGCAAATGTTTAATTGTATCAATATATGACATATTGCTCAATTCCAACATAAACGTTGAAGACGATTCAACGATGATATTAGAGTTCTGTTTATCGAACAAAAACTATGTAATCAATAGCCCAAAGGAAAGAATCTGTAGACTAGTAAACTCACTGCATAGTGACATCAACTTCTTCAGCGGATCTCTACGGAACTTCAGAAAGATCTTTAAAAAAGCTTTATTAAAATACTAGCATGCGAACTAGGTTACTTGTTTAATTCCTAATTTTATAAGTTTAAGCCTGTTAGATATAGATTGGCGTTAAATAAATAAATAAAAATAAGAGAAAAGCTCCAAGAGTCGGTGACAATGGTGACATATTTTCTGCAATTTTTCTTAAATGATATTAAAAATATATAGACTAGATTAATGATTAATGACCTTATTACCTTTTACTGAGGAACATGCGTCTCCATTATAAAGTCCTGCGCCTATAGATTTTCTCCATTCTTCTGCTTTGTTGAAAGTCGCCCTACAATACCGAACTTTGCAGCATTTACCTACAGTTTAGATCATTCAAACATTTATTGTAATAAATTACATTCGTTCGCTTCTTCAATTATAGATGAGCGAAAAATAATTCGTTAGACAAATAAACTGACAATAATTAATCACATCCATACCTCAATATCAACGTTTCTACGTCTTGTCGTTTCTCGCATTGTCTATTAAGATGTTTTCTTCTTCCGTTAATTTTTTTTTGTGTTTTTGTGACAACACGTTTTTTCTTAAAACAGAAATTTTTTTAATAAAAAGAAAATAAAGWAAAATTAAATTAGTGCATTCAATACTTACTTTCAGTTATTAAGAACATAACTGACAAACACACAAACTATAAAACAGCTGATTACGAGTAATTTGTGAGGGTTTTCGGCACGGTAAAGTATTATTCGTTGGGTTGGTATTTTCTTTAATTTACAACAACACAATAAATGTGAAAGTTTATCGAATAACAGATAACAACGCTGCTAGTGAAAACACCTAATATTTAACACCTAGGTGTCTTCAGTAGTTTCGCGTTGAACTCCTTATTTACGTTGGCGGCATTCGGCCGTGCTTAAAAAAATTAACCCTGGTCGGTGGCAAGATGTTGCAGTCTTTTTCGCGTGGAACTCCCTATTCCTTGGGCGGCCTGTGGTCGCACTTGACAAAAATAACTCTGGTCGTTCCGACACGGGGGTGTATAAATTTTTTCTTTTGCTTGGGCGGGCTCGGACGTGCTTTTTACCTTTTTACCTATCCAACACCGGGAGGATCATTAAGTGAAGGAAAATACTGAAAGGTTTTGTATGTTCCTGTATTTGAAGTATAATCTTTTTTTTATATTATTTTTGCTCGCTAACAAAATATATTAATTTTATAACATTGATGAAATAAATACATATATACAAAGAAATTAGTGAAGTGAGAGTGTTTGTAAAAGTGAACAATATTAATGTAAAATACATTTTAAATCGAAAAATACGTACTTTAATAGTTGGAATATTGATGTTTAAATACAAATATTTAAAAACTATAAGCCTCCTGCGGCTATATTTAAATATAGTATATTCTCGATCTGGAGAACTTGCACTACTTGCCTATACCCATTTTATCCCCGTTGAGGTATTCTAAAGCCGACACAAAAACTATGTGAACTGTTGGTGGATATAAAAAAATTTAACTATGATGATTCAAGTCAATATGAATAGAAAAGTTGCATACTTTAAATAAATTTATCGACATTAAAGGCTTTCAAAATTATCGCTACTGGAGTGAGTCAAATCCTCGTATGGTCCAGGAATCCCAATGGCATCCTAAAAAATTAACCGTTTGGCGCGAATTGTAGGTTAGCGGCACCTTCGGGCTTTATTTMTTTCAAAAAAAGTCATCATTAGGGAGCGTCGTAACATGATGTTGACCGATTCTTTTACCCGGAATTTGATAAAATCGACCCAGCCATCTTTAACTCCACAAAGACGGCGTTCCTTCTCATGAAGAACATCTTAGGTGCTAAGTCAAATAGCCCCCAAGATCATGCGACTTACGCCTCTAGATTATCTTTCTTGCGTATGTTGAATCAAAGCTTTACATCAAGCTACATCGCTTGAGGTGCTAGCTACAGCCGAAATGCTGCACTAGGTCAGCGAAATTGCTGTAAACGGCTGGTTATTACGAACGGAGCTGTAATAGTAATTTTTTCGAGGTTTAATTCAAATCCTAAATTACATACATTTATTTGCAGAGCATATACACTCAAAATATTTTATTCAAACTTGACTGTTGAGCGAAAATTGCCGTAAACGGAGATTGCGAACTTACCCGTGAGAGCCATTTGTCCGACATTTTGTTCAAATCCTAAATGACATACATTTATTTGCAGAATAAATACTCACAAAATATTATGTTAAAATTTGAGTGTTTTAGTTCATAATAACATGACGTCGTGTTTGTTGATAGACCCTATATACATTTATCTTACTATTTACTGGCATAGCACTGCTTACGCGGTTATAGCTAGGTTCTTTTCTACCTGAGTGAAGGTTTTCTTTTTCCTCTATTTCCTTCGGTGGGTATTAAATCGAAAACTGTCGAAATTGGAGTGTTCTCTTCCCTCCGGACAACATTACCTAGTCAGCGCAGCTGCTGTCTCTTGATTCGCTGAACTATGTTAATGTTGCCGTATAGCTCATCGTACCATGTAGCAGAACGGGAATTAGGAAGGGACTTGCAGAGTTTCGTCTTTATTCGTCAAAAGAGGACTTGACTTCTCAAATACTTACTTGGTCCTCAAAGAAAGAGCCTCAAAATTTTCAAATGATATGTGGTGGGATGGGGAGGGTCCTATCAATAAAAAATGCAGAATGTGCCTAATAGCAAGAATATACAAGTGTGCATTCCTATCGTAATATTTATTGGAGCACTTCAAATGTCAAAATTAAACTATGTTAATAAGTTAGAAATCGGACAAGCAATGAAAATTTTTTTCAGACAAACACCCTCACAAAGACTTCAGACTAATTTTACATGTGTGCAACACATAAAAATTTCACATGCTTCAAAGCAGTTGTGCTCGTCAGTTTATTAAAMAATTTTATTGAAAAATACRTTCTTATCCYAATGAAAAGGCATTTAASAGCGTCTAGCTGAGAGTTAGCACAGCATTAAACGGCTCTTATCCCAGTTTTTTAAATAAACGTTTCGAAAACCCACGTACAATATGACAGCAGGAATCAAAATTCTCTCAAAAATATTTCTTCTAAATTTTCGATGAAGTCTATAAAGTCTGCAGGTGGTTTGACCAGACTGCAGTCGTTATTATCTTTTTCCATAGAAAAACGAAAACGAGAATTAGTTCCTTCTTCTGAGGTATCGGACTCATACAACTATGAAGTTTTAAAAACTTTGAATACATATAGCCGCAAAAATAAACAAAGGAATTTTGTTTCAGGAAAAAAGTTTCACTCAAATCAATTTCCGCAATTTCAATATTTTGAAGTGGTTCTGAAGGCGGTCTTGGCAAACTTTGAAAGGTCTGCCAAGAA